ACTTTTATCTTTACATTTGTCTTATAGTTAAGTGAATGAGAAAAGTATTGATTAGTATTCTTAGCCAAACAAACACACGAAATGCAAAACCGTTGCCATTCATTGATTTCGTTTCTTATAATTATCGCAACTCTTTTGCTGTCGATTATTGTTGACTCCAATCAAATCAATGCTAATAATCAAACAAAACCCCAAATAAATGGTAAAAGTTTTACGAATAGTTTTCTCACATCATTTGACAAAACATTTTGTTTAATAATAGACTCCAAAGAAATATACAAATATTTATTGGCGAAGAAAAGCTGTTTTTTCAAAGGAATTAATTATTCGTCGGGAGAGAAGATAACACGAAGACATCGATGTCATCACTGTCTTTGCGATAATGGTTTTGTCAGATGTTTCTGGTATTTATGTTTTATAATAAACACTTATTTTCTAATAATTATTCAAATTCATATTAAGATGAAACTAATTTTAAAGGGTTTAGAACTCAATCACTATTATTTTAAACTATATTTTCAACCCACGGATTACCCCTTTTCTTATACACCTTTAAATAGAAACATATTTACTTTGAAATTAAAATATTTGACAAATTTTTTATAATTATTTAATTAACTAATGGTTGGTATTGTGAAAAGTTTTTGTTAAAATGATCCCTATATATACAATTATGTAACATAAAGTGAGATCATATATTAAAAAATTCTAAGAAAATTTATTTTTATAATAAAATTGAAAATATTTTGAAAATTGAAATCATTGTTTATCGGGAAAATTGACAATATTTTATAACATTTAGATTATTAATGTTAAACATTTGCATATAAAGGCAAAGCTGTCCTCCACCTCCTGAAGGCTGTTCAGTCATCCCATACGAAGGAGTATGCAATCCATCCATTTATAACTGCCGTGAGTTTTAATATTAATCTTTATATAAAATACAAAATTATTTATTTATAAGATTAAGTTTTAATTAAAATTATTTATAAAATATATTGAAATATTCGAAGAATTTTGAAATAATTTCTCATATAACTTAAAAATTCTGTTGAATTATTAAAATAATATATGATATAATTTATATCTTAAAATCCAAAGCAATTCCTGAACGAAACGCAACACTATATGTAAAGTCGAGGCGAAGACAAAAGTATGGCTCAAGAAAATCTGATGAGGGTTTGGTTCGCGCCGATTGTGTCATACGAGGCATCGCTTACTTTACTGGAGAAACCATAGGAATCGCATCCAATAACTGTTTGCATACATTTTTATTTGTGAATCAATAGTGACTATTGTATGCGTGATTAGGTCTGGAGTGCCGGTGCGCCAAGAATTCAATGTATTGTTCGCCACTTTGTTGTACTTTCCAGAGGACGACAATTGAAGAAAACTTTGGCGTTAATTATCGACGAATTGATGTCCAGAACAGAGTCGCCGATTCAAACCCATTGTCGCACATTTACGAAGAGCTGGGATTACCCCCTGTCGGCGCCTTTTCAACCCATTAAAGTAAATTTATTTAATGATATTTTAAGTTTGATCATCATGAATCATGATTCTTGTACCGCATATTTGGTGTACATTTTTGCATCTAATTTTTACACTAAATATTTTTAACTTAATGTCAAATTTAAAAAAATATAACATGTGCTTAAGGTTTGGGCAAAGAAGTAGTTTGTTTTTAGTCGACACAAAAGTTTGATTGGATTTTAGTTTAAATTGAAAAGTGATTTACTATTTATCTAAATATTTATTTGGGTCAATGTTTTACAATAATTAATTGTTTTTAGATTAAATTTATTTTATTAAATAACTCATCATTTGTTGTGCATATTGTTTGATGCAAAATATAAATAAATCGATACATTTATAACAAATAAACTTGTTTGATTAATTATTCTAAAATTATCTCTAGTTTATTCTACGATAGCATTAAAACTTATATTAAATATAAAATATATTCTATTCTATAATTATAACATAATTTTAATAATACTGCATTTTACTTATGATTACAAATATTTTAACATTGGTTAAATAATTACAGTATAAATATAATATTATTAATTATTTTAATCCTTGAATTTAAAATAACTTTTATTAAAATTATTCAAACAATTTCCATTAAAATAACAAATTATTTTTAGAAATAATATGTTTTATTTTAGCAAGTATATATTATATTTTTAAAAAGTACAAACTTGTAAAATCCATTAATATAAATAATTAATATATTATAATTTAACTAGAAAAATATTCAAAATATATTACTAAAAACAATATTATACAAACATGATTTTCATTAGAATTATATAATATCACTATATTTTACAATAATATAACATAACTTTAAATTTATAATCTTGATAACAAGGTAAATAATGTATATTTTGCAAACGCATTTACGTTTATATTAATGCTATTAACAATATAAATAAATAAGAATTTATATGAGCTTATTGTTAATTAAAATTATGAATCTCTCTCATGATCTCAAAAATTATATCATATAATAATCATATATTAATATACATTTGTAATACAATAACAATTCCTTGAGAGAAAATTGATTTGAATTCATAAAAACGCAAAATTATAAATATTTCTGTTAAATTTTGTGGTTTTAATTGTAATTTACAATGATAGTTTTAATATTATATAGAATTAGATAACAATAGATAACAAAATCTATATAAAATTAAGATAAATCAAAAGCGACAACTTATTAGAAAGTGGCGATAAATTAGCGATACATTTAATCTATTGATAGTTATTTTATATAATTTATACCTAATATAACTTATACAGTACTAGCACTGCATAAGATTAGCTATATTTCAATTAATGTCAATTCTCTGAGTCTTCTTCCAAATTATGTAAAGTTTAAAACAATTTTTATATATTTACAGTTATTATTGCGAAAAATTAAGTTTAAATCATTAAAAGATATATTTAATTTATTTACGGATATGTTGTGGACATAAATCTTGGATTAAATTTCTTAATTTAACAATAAGTATATTATATAATCAATGATTGGATGGGATTTATGAATATTGTGTACAATATGTTGTGTATACAAAATCTTTTAGATAAATATCAAATGGAAAGTGATTTCTTTTTGCCGTTTCTGCCATTTTTACCATTTTTGCCAAAAACCAAACCAATCATTTTGGATACAGTGATACCGGAGCTTGTCTTACGTCTGATGGCAGGCATCCCTCGCATGGAAAGCAATGGACAGACTTGTCTAATAAGACTTTGAAAAGCAAGACATACGCCAACACTACTCTCAGCGGCAGATATCTCGTAGAACTGGCACTGATATTGCAGACACATCTCCTGCCCATCGTTTACCTCAACCTTTAAAATGCAGTTTTCATTTGATTAATTCGTATAAAATTCAAATTTTCAAACATGTATTTTAATCTCCATATAAATTATTGATAAGAAAAACATGTAGTTTTAAAGCAAAAATCAAAATTGATTGAAATAATCGGTCAAAGCTTTTGCTTTCAAATGAAGCAAAAAAAAGTGAAATGAAATGAAGACATACCTGACGGGAGTGTTCGGCCAGATCTCGCTTATTGCCCAAAAGCATGATTGGGTACATTCCCGGCCCTTTCAGCACAGATATAGTCTCGAGCAGATGTCTCGCGTGAATAAAACTTTGTTTGTCACAAATCGAGTAAATGATTGCGAAAGCGTTTCCCCAACTAATGTGATCGTAAAGGCACTGAGCGTTCTGTCAAGTGGTAAATGTTTGGCACAACCAAAATGTATTTTTTATTACTTTATTTTATGTTTAAAATTTTTAAAACTTTCTACACGACGACTAAACGTGTAGTTATAACTAATAGCTAAGAAAATGTTGATGAAAATTGTCATACTTTACAGCCAGACGTGTCTAATATTTCCATTTCTGTCATTATATCGTCAAACTTGATTGAATGCGTGTATAAAAAATCTAATTAAAATATACAAATTTTTGTTAAGATTAGCGCATAAAATATACGAGAAAACAATATAATAATTTAATGGTATTACACACTAGGAAACATGTGTTTATGCTAATGATTAAGCCGGTAATTAAATGTGCAAAAATGCAAATGCATTGATTGATTATATAATTTGAATGGCATTGACATTACAGACATTCTTGTTATCACTAAATAACGAATTAAAGGGTAAATGCACTGAACATTCGCCCAGTTAAGCAACATTAGGGCCAAATAACTCTCACTTATACTTTCATAATGAATATATAATTCTCAATACATTCTCAATACGAAACATCAATGAGTTGTGAAATTATTCAAAAGTTTGTTCGCTTTGTATTACGAATGGAGTGAACGGACGATGAACTGAATGAACGCCTAAAATGCATTAAATGTTGGGTTTTATAAGTTTTATTCTCCAATAAATTCTCTCAATTTTCAGTCGAATTCAAATGACAAATAATCTATGTTTTTGTGTCTAATTAACTCATCGGACGACTTATTTAACATTACTAAATTGTCAAGAGGCATCTTATAAACTCTATATGGAGTATACAAATTGTTATCATAATCATAAAATTACAAATACTGTATTTAGTATTACTATTTTATTAGAAAAATTACACAATTTA